GTACAGCTTAATGTATTAGGAGATTTAATTAACCCTTTTGTCGGAAACCGACAATTAATATTTTTGTGAGTGTAGGAACCAAGAAAATTAAAAGTATAATATTAAGAATTTTGTTATAATTTAAGTAAAATCTATTTATTGCACTCGTGATTAAAGGCTTTCCCAGAGAAACTGACGATATCCCGGGCTCCCGTCCTTCCACCTCGGTTGCCGGAAGAAGAATGACAATGCAGGGCAGAGAGCCCCATATATAGGTTTAACCCCCCACCACTTGCGTGTAAATGTTTAATCATTTTTAGCTATATAATAAATTTTATAATATTTAACAATTAAAAATTATATTATTTTGTTTCTAAATAACTTTTAATATTAATATCGTCAAAATTGGGATTTTCTCTGAATTTCTACTTCTATATATCATTATTTTCCCTAAAAAAACCTAATTTAATTGCGAGTATACCTAGTGAAGAGGGTTCTTCGACGTAATTACAAGATTCTTATGTGTATAATAAATAATTGCTATCATGTTTCAAAAAGTAAATTCTGAACTGTTTATAATATGATAAAGTACTAAGATTAAAGAATATTTTTCATGAAAAGGAAAATATTTTTAAACTAGAAGCAAGATATAGGTTGACGTCGAGTGAAAGCTGTTCGATATCACGGAGAACGTATCATACATCTTTAAAACTCAGCAAAGGTTGTGAGGTCTTTCTCGAAGGTTTTTGGGGTAACGAAGGTCGCCTAAAAATAGTGTCATCGTGACACCTGGTCGGTTTTATTGAAAAACTCTCTTTTTCATCTTTACATACAAAAATTTCAATACGTGAATTTATTATGAATCCCTTTCGAAATAGAAAGATTGAATTGGACTGCTTTCAAAAGCAAAGCGTTTTAACACAAAATTACTTTTGAATGAAAAATAAATGACTCTGAAATTACTGGGCTTGTAAACTCGGTGCAATAAAAAATTCTTTAGGTACATGTAACTTTTGTAACTTTTATTATGCTGGAATTGAAATTTATTTTTAATATTTACCGCATGTATTAAGATATTGAAAAAGGGCCAAGGAAACTTCAGTCGCAATTTATTTTTAATATTTAATCAACGTTTTTAATATTAAAAGGGCGTTCAAGTGATAAAAATTTGTTATCAAGCAGTCAAGTTTCTTCAACAAGTTCTTTGTTATTAAATTAACAATCTCTGTTGCCATGAGCATTTTATATATATAATAAGCGAAAGAGTTAAATGAGAAAATGAATTCTTTTACTAATTTAATGATTACAGTAAATTAATGAAATCAACTAATAAAATAAATGACCGAATTATGCAATTAAGCTCTTGATTTGTGAATGGACTGATTTTAATTTAGATCATCTCTAACTCATTTATTATCAAAGAGCAATTCCTGAATAACCTAATCCAACTTTCATGATAATTAAATTCTACCGTGTCCCACTTAAACTTTAAAATTCTTCTCTGTTCCTGTACAATTTCCTTTCTCACGAACAGATATAGAACATTCCATAAATCAGCAAACTAAAGAAAATTAACTTTAAATCAATTTATCATCCGATCTATCGTCAAACAGGATGGAGGTGTTGAAATGGTATAAAGTATTTTGTAATCAACGTTTGATCAGATATTGAAGTCGTTTTAAATCATTCAGCCTTTGAAACTTCCATCTAAAAACTTTCTCTACCCGCAAAACTTCAAATATTGAACTTCGAATAAAGTGCAAAAAGGTTGAATTAGGGTGGTCTGGAAACTTATTTTATACTTCGTTTTCAATTTCCATAATTGATTTTGGAATATAGAGTTCTGCATCATGGAATTTCATTATTACGAAATTTTTCTATTTTTCTATTTTTCAATATATTTAGGAATATTTGAATTTCAGTATATTTTTCATATTGCACACTTTTCCTAAATTTTTCAAGATATTTGGAAATATCTGAATTTCACTGTATTTTTCATATCATGGAATTATGGAATTTCATTACTATACAATTTTTCTATTTTTCTATTTTCCAAGATATTTAGGAATATTTGAATTTCAATATATTTTTCACATTGCACATTTTTCCTAAATTTTTCAAGATATTTGGAAATATCTGAATTTCACTGTATTTCTCACATCATGGAATTATGGAATTTCATTACTATAAAATTTTTCTATTTTTCTATTTTCCAAGGCATTTAGAAATATTTGTATTTCAATATATTTTTCACATTACACATTTTTTCCAAATTCTCCAAAATGCTACTTATGACAATTGAGCGAAGAAGAATGGTATATTCAACAATATTCTTCATCTTCCTTTCTGTTACGTAATAATACAATTGTAGAACAGATGTGCAGGAGAGCACAACGAACAGACCTATGTCGAGCGCGGTACAAGAACGTCTGTTCATGTCGGAGATGAAAATCAACTTGGCCAAGTAGCATGATAGGGGAGAGTGTAGTAATCAGTTGGTGAACGACAAACAACGTGGCCAGGGGAAATGAACACGCGATGTAACCGCTGACGAATATCTCTAATTTGCGTTTGCTTCGTAACACGGTCTTAACTCGTTAGCTGGAGCAGCCTCCTCGCTTCTACATATTCCCTTGGTGTCTTTATTAATTTTCTCTTTCATGCTTGTTCAATATGGTTACGCGAAACATCAGATACCATTATATGCATAATTCTTTTCCGGTGATGGCATAGAAATGTTTACAACTTCAATTTATATATATAATTAAATTAAAATTTAAGAAAATGTTTTGATTTTCCATCAAAATAATTTTTTTGAAAACTGATTTTCCACCAAAATAGTTTCCCTCAAAATCTTGATTTTCCATCACAATAATATTTTGAAGTTCTTGATTTTCCACGAAAATAATTTTCTTGAAAATTTTGATTTTCCATTAAAATAATTTTTTTCCACAAATTTTGATTTTCTATTAAAATAATTTTTCTACAAATTTTGATTTTCCACCAAAATAATTTTCTTGAAAATCACCTGTTACATTAAAGCAGCCATAATTTTAGAGGGTTATCTATACCCAGCTGAATTTTCATCTAGCAAACAGTTGACCTTCGTCGCGACCTCAGCATTCCTGTTAACCTTCTCCCTGAAGGCGATGCCCTTAATTTACTTTGCATCCACGATTAACTTTATTAACTCTGTCGGTGACATATCAATTTACTCGTCGGCCGCATAACGCGTATGGTTAGGGCTTGCTAAGTGTCAGCCAGCCTCTTATTTTATTTATGCGCTCCAACCAGCTGGGAAAAGGGAGGACATCCAAGAAGATGACAAGAAACTCAACGGAGGGTAAAGGAGAGAGATAGAGATAGAAATACATAAGGAGTTCTGGAATGGATGGAATGACATGTTAGGAGAATCGTACGCGCACCAATGTTCCACATGTTTGTGCCTGTTGACATCCAGTTATTATACTTCATCTTTTCTTCAGTTTTCTTCTTGGATCTCTGTCAATGCTCGTTATTCTATTTCTAATACAGTCTGTGCCATTTTGTGTTCCTTCTTTCCCTTTGGGATTAGAGCATGTTAATAAATAAAACGGGATTATGATAATAAGTGTATTCATGACTACCTAATTACCGTATCTACTTTAATTTCATACCGCGTTGCCGTCTTTTAAATCACTAATTAACTTGGACTTTCAATTATAATACTTTTGCATTTTCTTTGAATATTTTATAATCATACAACTTATTTTTTTCTTTTCTAATATATTCTAAAATTTTAATAAAAAATATACTTGGTACATTTAACTAAAAAATTTTCTTCCTATTTCTAACACTTTTCTAATCATTAGCATCTTCAAATTTACACTGTTCTTCTCTTGTCGTTTCACCAAATTTTTTCTCCCTTTCCAATTAGCACAGTTTCAGATTACGCCTAATACTGTTTCTAGCTACCGGATTCAGGTTTCACGATTTAACTTTCTATGTACCAGTCTAATTTTAAATTAACACACTAAACTTCTGTCTTAAATTTATATTTTATCAAGGAACTGTTTAAAATTATACAAAAATTTGTCAAATTAAATTTTAATTAAAATTTTTTATTGGCCATTCTTTTTCCAATTAATTACATCAGTGTACATAGTTTGAGTAAATACAGTTTTACTATTAATGTTTTATTATTAATGTTTCTAGAGGGGCACAGAACGAGTTAAGTGTTGCCTAATTAGAACTTACAAGTTTACCCTCGGTGATTCGTCTCAAGTCAATTTGGAGCTTTCGAGGTACGTGACATACATCGATGTCTTGGTCTTTTGCGAACTAATCAGTAAATTCCCTGAGGAAGCCTCGCGGTGACAGTTTAAACAGCGACATGAAGCCGAGTTTAATGTAATAACCGAACCGCGTACTCGCGAACAACCGAGTTGTGATGCTTTCGAGACTACAATGTTATTCGAAACATTGTCCACGATGACGAGTTCTGTCATTTCGCAATTAGGGTGAGATTTTACGTGACAATAAAACTGCTGGCGTTGGACTACCATGACATTATGATACAAAATTTGAAAATGTTTGAAAAATTATATGTAAATGAAAGTAATACTTCAATTATAACTTTATGAGATACGCAAGGGAATTAATATTTCCGTTTATGTGCTTATTACCTTATGACAATATTTGGATGTTTACAGTGGTTAATAGGGAAAGCAGATCATGTAATTTGCAGAGAAATTTGCAAATTATCCTGGTTAAATCAGAATTCCATCATCAAAATTGTGCAATAAAAATTTAAAACAAATAATTTGATTTTAAACTAATTTTAATGCTAATTATCATTTCGTGAATTTTTCTTATTTCCATATTAACAAATTTTTTGAAAATTTTATCAATATAATTTTTATATCCACACATTATACAAATAATTTAGTTTAAGTAAGTGGATGTTAAAAATATCAAAGATTTAAAAAGGCAGGAATTCTAATTTAACATAAAATGAGAAATTCTTATAAAATTCAGATTACCTTTAACTCTGTGCTTGAAACTGGCTGTTACTTCTTGTAATATGACTGGGGTTAAAACATTACCTGTAATCAAAAATTACATAAAATTGTAGAAAATAAATCGTCCAATTTCTTAAGAAATAAAATTTTAAGAAATGATGTTTTAATAATTTCTTTTTGTTATAATAAAATTTCGTTCTCAATTTGAAAGGTGACATTAATTTTACATAAATTTTCAGCAAACAAATGGTGAATGTATAAACTATGATAGAGGCTAGTGCATGGTGGTTAGCAGCGTCATAGCTAAAAATACCTAGCAAAACCAGAATAAACGTTTACGAAAATAACAAAGACAGTTTTATCCTGTTGACCTGGAATGTAAAGTACCCCTGTTGTCGGTAACCAACTTAGTTTAGATAAAATTAACATCGATTCCTTAAATACTTTTTTCACTTCCCCATCGAATTCATTGAATTTTAAAGTAGAGAATCAGCGTTTCGAATTGTTACGATGAAAATAATGAATCATCTTCTAAATTGAGGATATAAAACAGAAACCTACAAATTTTTTAATATTTTTCACAAGTTCAATAACAAGAAATATTTTCTAATATTACTAACAATATAAAATTAGTTCTCCAAAGGCTAAAATAAGGATGCCATTTTTGATATTGCTAAAAATTTGTAATAAAGTATAAGTGCTGATACTGTTAAGAATTTCAAGTAATGCTTAAATTAGACTATCAGTTCTGAAATTGCTAAGAATTTCTGATACAGTTTGAATTAGAATACAAGTCTTGAAGTGGACTCCTAAGATTAGAATATCGCAATCTATGCAATTTACAGAGTAAAAGTCAGAACGCTAAAAGACCATCGAACCTTGTCTAATCAGTCCAGTCAAACCTCGCAAGTATTCAACGCATAAATGGCTTCCCGCAAGAACGAACCTAAAAACCGATTCCGTAGTCACGATCATTTATTTAAAAAGAAAATAATAAATTAATTTGGATGGTCAAAGAAAAATTTCAACACTTCACCGATTACTGACGGATCAAAGATTTTCGAAATTTGTTTCATTCAACAAAATTCAAACAATTTGTTCGAATCAAACGTGAGGGATTCGATGGTTATTGAACATAGATCGACGATGGATTCGATCTCGATCTCGATCTCTCGCGGCATCGAATCCGAAGGACGAGGAAGGTGAGGTGGTCCCTGCAAGAGTCCCTGTCAATGACTTTGGCATGCCGGAGAAAAGTAAATATAGCACAGCGACCAAACCAGTTCTCTTAAAATAACTCGCGGTCCTAAGGAGTGCATTCTCCACCGCATCGACGGCATTTTGGTACCGGGGAATGCAGTTGTGCCATTGCTACCGAAAAACGAGCCGTCGAGCTGACGCGACACTCTGCTGCGAACTTTTGCGTTGGCGACTCGAATCTTGCCGCTCCTTTCTTATTCGTCGTCTTCATTTTCCATTTATACTGGTTTTGTAAGCTTGGCAAGAGCCAAACGCTAATCAAGAACCGAGACGAGGAATCGATAAGCTTCCTTTTAAGACGTTTATAATCCATGTTTTATGAAAGTGATAGGTTATCGTACTAAACGCGTTTCATGACATAAAATTATTATGAAATACCGCTTATGGTACCTTAATTTAAAGCTTAAGATTTAATAAAAATAACTATATAAAGCTTTTGTTGATATTCGTAATATATCAATAAATTTAGAAAGAAGAGAAAGAACACTATTAGATTGTCATCATATGTATTTATTGTTTACTTTACAGGAAAATTAGCCATTTTATTTTAAGAATCTCCATTAAAAGTTTACGCAATCATTTTCTTTAAACTTTAAGCTTTAGATTGATGTGCCATAAGTGATATTTTACAATACTTTTATGTCATCAAATCGTGTCAAAAACTTTCTATGCTTCAAAAACTGAAGGAATCAATATAATTTTATTTTATGATATCATATTATATTTATTTATTCTTCTTTCGTAAACAAGTTTTACGAGTAATAAGGTAAACCGCGTATTTATCATCATTCAATGATAGAACGTCAATCTAAATCAAGCTCCGCTTTCAAGTTGATGCAACGTTATGGTACGCAATAAACTATTTCGTATCAACATCAATCAATTGATAGATGATAGCTGAGTATCATTAGCGGAGTATCGTTTTGTTATCTGATTTATCGTTGCAAGGATCGCTTCCAGTTTTCATGTACAGTATCGAGCAAAATAGGCTTCCCTAGGGAAAATGGTGTTGAGAGAGAAATAGAAATTCTAAAAATTTGTAATAAGCTTAAAATTAAATTAAAATCTAAATTGCTAATATGAGGAGAATAAACCTTAAAAAATTCCACCTTCGCTTTTCAATATTTCAACTTAAGTTCTTAATTAATGAAGATAATTTATTAATAGATGATAAATTTTAATTTTGTTTCGTGTTAAATGTTTGCCTCGCAATTAAACTCCAACGTAAATGCATCAAAAAGAGGAAAGACAACAGTAGGCAAAGTCGACATGTAACGAAGAAAAAGCAAGGGATTCAAGGATAATTAAACGTTCTTCTGAAGTTTCAAACGTAAGAGTTAAGCCGGTACTTTGCGAAAAGAATGACGAAAGAAAGGGCTTGAAGTGGTCCGAGGCGCGAAACACTGCAATTATTTAGCCAAAGCTTATCCTACTGTTGGCCTCGGTGTTTCAGTTTCGCCTGTCTGTTGCAAAACATGCTTCAATGTGATAAATCTTCTACGTAATTGAGTAGAGAGTGTAAATGAAAAATTTAAAAACTACCCAACAATTTTTTTCAAAATTACTGTGAAATATATTCTCTTTTAATATGTTGAAAAATATTATTTTATTCTAAAAATTTTAAATATTTTCTACTTAGGTGATGTTACATTTTTGGTGCTGTTATTAAGTACTATTATGTTTCTAGGTACAGCAATTTACGCAATTTATGAAAGAAAATTTTAATAACTTTATTTTATATGAAAAAGGAAGTTTATCTCAACGTATTTCTTGCTTCTGATATATAAAATGGGTCAACATACGAATTTAATTTAAATTTGTTTTCAGCATTTGGTTTTGACATTTTAATTTTATATTAACTTTGTTGAATGGTAAAAAACATATGCATCAGCGATTTACCTCCTTCTTTATATTTCAACTACCATTATTATTCCGTTTTGCTTTCTTTCATTCCTATATGCTTCCTTTCATCTGCTCCATCCTACTTCTTTATTTTTTATATTCAACAATCTGTTTCTTCCCCTATTCTTCATTTTATTCCTCCTCCTATCCCTTTCAACACTTCCTCCTAGTTTTCTTTACCGTTCCTCCTACTTCCTCTTACTACTCCTTTATTCACCCTTCCCTTTATTTATAATTTTTCTTTTATTTCTATTATACCTTCAATAATACGAAATTCTATTTTGGTAGTTTAAAGATTAAAAAAATTATCATTTCTTTTGCTATAATATTTTATGGCAAAGAACACGTTTATAATATAAACGTATAATATTTAGATTATGGACTCAGTGGAAAATTATATTATTTTATTTGTTATTTAAAAAAAGTGAAGAGCAGTGAATGATAGTGTAACATGCAAACGATGTTCACAGTTTCAAGCCAGATTATTTTCTTTTATTTTACAGAAAAATAGCACAATCAATCAATAACTTCCTGCTCTGTGTATATACATATGTTCCACAGTGAATGCTAGTGTGATATATAAACGACCATAGTTTAAAATTACACTATTTAATCTTTCTCTTTGAATCCAATATTTTTCTGGTTCATGTACATTTAACCCAATTAACTGTGGATTGAAGTTACACGAAGTCAAATATAGTATACTTTGATGAAATTACAATCATCAAAGACTTCAAAGTAAAATAAATCATTTTTGCTTTTGATGAAATTCAATATGGAAGAACAGAATGCTACATTTGAACAATTTCTGTTCGTGGGTGGGTATCCTGTTTCATTGTGTGTTCTCCGTTATCCAATACAATAAACATAAACATATGTAGAGTATCAGATTACAAGTAAATTTGTTAAGTCAAGTTACTGAATATCAAATAAATAATTAATCCTTCAGATTTGCAAATTTAGGTCTAGAAATTGTTTTTTGAAAAATATTATGAAATAATAGATAGAGAATTACTCTCAATTTCCAAATAATTAAACTGACAATAAAAAAGAGTTGGGGTCCCCGTAATCTAAGCAAGGGTTAAAATTAATATTCCCAAATAAAAAAAAAATTTCTTCCACATTTTCTTTTTTTTTCTATAGAATTACTCCTTTCGGTTTATATAATTTTCAGACTATTATCTTTAACCCGTGTATTTTTTGACCACCAACGGAAAGCTTTTCCCAGAAAAATTGAATTACCGTTGAAAATTGTGTTCGATGAAGAAAAAAAAAAAACTATCCTTCGAACGACTTCTCAATGTCCATGGTCAGTCTTTACCGTCGTTCCACGAAACGCTATCATTTTCGCGTGTCTCGCCACGCGATCGTTTTTCGCATCTTCCGGTAATTGGAACCGCGTATCGATGGTTGAACCACGATGACCGAGTATAAAATAGCGGAGACAGAGCGGCCAATTGTCCAAACCGACGATCCAGAAACAGATGGGTCCCGATGCCAGCTGGATGGACACAATGTACGGATATATGGATGGTTGCTCAGGAACGGCGTAATTGTGGTAACGAGTGGAGGAAATTCGACCACGTCTACGATGAAATATCTGCTTCCCTTTAATCCTTTCGACGTATTGCGTCCTTGAAAACCATCCATTATCACGTTGACTGCGACGAAAAGTTTTGGAAAGAAGTACATTTTATTTCTCAATAAATATTTTCAGATTTATAGGATGAAAAAGGGATTAAATGAAAATTCAGGTGGTACCATTTTAGACCTTTGGACTTTCTAAAAGTACCAAGGCCTATTTCCAAAGTACAAACATTTTTTGTTTAACGCGTTTCCTGTCACACGATTCGATGTAGTCCGCACGCGATATCGCGTGCTCGATTATCAATTTTTTAATGATAAAAATATAACATAGCCTA